CATATCGGATATCGGCCAAAATCCCAATATCGTGCATCCCTAATATTTAGGGTCCCCAACTTCGCATTAGCTCTACACACTCTGCACAAGAGGAACCAGATGTGTTGTCTCTCCTCCATCTGGGAAGCTGCAGCTGGCTCTAAAGGCCAGTGTGGTGGAAACAATCTTTTTTTTTATCTGCTGGCTAGGTCTCCAGTGTTTTCCAGAGTAAGGGTTGCTTATGCGCCCTTAGGAGGAATGCGCGATGAAATCGAGATACTAACAAGAAAACAACCAGACATCCCATGTGAAATCAGAAAGCAGCTCCAGAAGGACGGCCCACGAAGAGAAAAACAAACCTGCGCCTGGTGGAATCTGGCCACCAAGATTCAGACACGTCGCCTAGCTCAGCGTTTCCTTGATTAGAACCAGCGGTGCCTCCCCCGCTCCTCCTCCTTGCCTCATTCCTCTTCTCACTTTTCTCCCTTTTTCTCCCATCTTGTATTCCTAGTGGTTTTTGTCTTATTCGCATATCTACTCAGCCTGTCTGTCCTCCCTTCTGTCCCTCCTCTTTCTCCCAGAACCTCCCCCGATCCATCTCTCACTCATCCAAAGTTTTTGTTGTAAATGGCTTGAAGACAGCAGAGGATGGGGGGATGGGGACGTCTTTGAGCTTGAACAGTTGTTTTAAGTCATGTATATTCACCTCCTCTTGATAGCAGCCCTACAATACTCACTATTCAGGCGGAAGGGGGGGGAGTTATATACTCATTCCAGTTGCGTTATCTTTTCTTTCATTGTTTTCTCACAAAAGAAGAAGAGCATGGGTAAAAATCCTCAGCAAATTAAAAAACGTAGCCCTGATGTGTAGAGAACTTTATACCACTGCCTCAGATATACCAAAGTTCAACCTAGTTTAATGAGAGCATCCATAAAATAGTGACACATAAAAAACTAACAAAGGATACGTATACTAAGGCATGTCTAGATAATTTTTCAAGTTTAGTTCATTTAGGATATTTTACTCCTAACTAATGTGACCGATTAGAACGCTTCTTCAACTTTTAGTGGATCACATTTTCTTCCATTGAACACTATGAGTTAAGTATTATAAATGACCTTTAATTGTTACTGAGCCCCTAAAACTAAAGTAGAAATCCAACAAATCTCTAAAAAATCAGAAACCCTAAAATGCTTTAAGAAAAAATTCAAGAAATCAGGAAGCTACAAAACGAACAGAATTACAAAAAGGAAATCAATGACCAATACGCCTCGATAGCATTGGCTTGCATGAAAAATGTTGCATATATATATATAAAAACAGTATTTTTTTAAATGCTATTTTAATAACATCAGCTTCCTCTTTGTCCTCTTAGATCATAGTTGGAGAAAGCTACAGGATCTACTTTCTAAACGAGGGATCCAAGTCTTTCGTTGGGAACCCCTATATAGCTGCCCTCTACAAGCAGGTCGGGGTGTTTATCTTCGGCTGTGCCATCAGCCAGTCCTTCACCGACATCGCCAAAGTGTCGGTAGGCCGAATGCGACCACACTTCATTGACGTATGCAAGCCCGACTTCTCCACCATCAACTGCTCCTTGGGATACATCACTGAGTACACATGTCATGGGCCAGAGAGCAAAGTTCAAGAGGCCAGGTATGGCAACAGATGTGAGATGGCCCAGTCTCCCATAAGTTAAATTTGAAGGCAATGGTTTAGAAGTTGGCTAAGTGCTAAGAAGCTGACTGATTTCATTTTCTCCTCAGGAAGTCATTTTTCTCTGGTCATGCGTCATTCTCCATGTACACCATGCTCTACCTAGTGGTGAGTTTCCAGAATATCCTCCTTTCATTTATTCTGATAATAACAACGAAAAATAAATAATACAAATCTGATTATTTTGGTTCCCCTACAGTTTTACCTGCAGGCACGGTTCACTTGGCATGGCGCTCGCCTGCTGCGTCCGTTGACCCAGTTCACCCTCATCATGATGTCCTTCTACACGGGCCTGTCTCGAGTGTCTGACCACAAGCACCACCCCACCGATGTCCTGGCTGGGTTCATTCAGGGCGCCCTTGTGGCCTACTGCGTTGTAAGTTGTTACTCTATTCTTTAGAGGACCTTGGGGGGAAGCATTACATAAATAAACTGATCTACAGTAATGTTAGAGAGCACTTTGATCACTATTTTTCAAGATTATGCTTGATGGATATATATTTTATTTTTTTTACTTGTAGAGACAAGTTTATCATAAAAAAGCTGAATTTTGCGTGGCTAAATTTGGGACTGTGTCCAAACATCCGCCCTAACCCCTACATAGAGCACTATAAAGGGGTTACAGCGTTTATACAGTATATGAGTGTCCAAATGTCTGCTGGATGAAAAAGTAGCGAACTCAAAATTTCCAATAATGCACTTAGAAAGTAGTGTGCAACCACTGTCAGACAAGCAGATATATCCCAGGATCCATTGCAAGAGCTCTCCTCACAAACCTAAATGGTGCAGGCACCGTGCGGGGAGGTGGAGTTACATGACCAACAGGGAGCGAAAAGTAGTGATAATCTGTTCGAACGGTCAGTTAACCGAGTTCACTATAAAGTCCACTATATAATCCCTGCTCTATATAGTGATTGAATGGTTAGAGCACATATTCAGAAACAGCCTGGGATTTACAAATTAATTTCTTCTAAGAATGTATGGCACCACCTCTCCTATTTATATACTGTAGAGCACTTCTTCATAGATGCAAACTACATTTTGTTGCTTTGTACTTGTGACAGTGTAAAGACGATAAAGTTTAATTCTAATCTATTATACAAAGACACCCACTGTTTAGGAGGTGTCTAGCAGCAAAGGTTGCATGTTTACATTACTTATATAAATTGTACACATTACTGAATATGCTCATTTGCCTTTTTTATTTTATTTTAAATTATTGTAAGAATGGCAATGAAAAATAAAAAAAGAAACTCACATCATGAGATTTCTTGTCAAAGGGAAATA